CTTGCTTTCTATCAGCTGGTAGGTTAGTGCGAAAAAAGTTTCAAAGCGCGTTTTGAGCAAAGCAGTTCTCAAACAGATGTGTTTGCCCTTTAAAAAATGTCTTCTAAAATAGTTTAATGTCGAGTAAGAGATCTGAGAGATTATCCATTTTTCACCTCATGCTCAGCCACGTGCAACAGCAGTGATATGAGAGCAAAACGAGAAATTTCGACTTTCACATAGAAATTGACGCTCTGCTTATTCTCAGATAAACGAAAGAAAAAAAGTAGCTACGAACGTTAACTTCATGATGTCCCATGGTCCACCACACTCAATAAACTCCTTCAAAGTGAAGGCAGAGCCTGCGTTTCAAGCCAAAGTATCTCTAACAGAACTGCTAGGAAAAGATGGCGTAGAACATCTCGTTCACAACATCAGAAAAGGACCACAAACATTCATTTTGACATTTTTATTTAATTAGGAGGTCATATACTTAGTCATCATATAAAGCTCACAAAGCTGAGTATGCAAATTCGCTTGATACCGTCTTTATTAGGGGAAGGGCTTAGACGGACGATGTCATGCAAATGTTCGACTTGCTTCAGTCTTGAAATATGGATACTAGCCCTTCCTTTTTTGCAGTTGTCGGTATAGGTAGATTTTCGACGAAAGGCTCACTCAAAACAATGAGTGTCATCAGTACAAATTTCAGCCATTACCCGATTGTATAATTTTACAAAGATGGAAAAAAAAGAAAATATTGAAGAAAGCTGATGTTCTTTAACAAGAAAGACTGAAAATCGATTTTATTTTACTGAAGTTTTTTTGTCCAACACAACACAAAACATTTGATGCCCTATACTAATAAACGCTCATTCGTGGTGTGGAACACCAGTTATACTACTCCTTCTATCTAAGATCCCTTTGCGCTGCTGAAACAAACATGTACATCTGCTTCGTAGAAGATTGCTGAGATCAGTAATTCCTAACCCCAATAAGTCACAAGTATTTTTGTTATCATATAAGAAAAAAAACATTTCGTTACATAGTCACCGCATAAAATTTGAGAAAAAAACTCACATAACGTCCTTTATCGTTGCTCTCTTCATGGGATCGACCATTAGCATGTGTAAAAGTAAATTCACAAGCGGCTTGTCTAAGTAGTCTGGTATAGGAAAAACTCCAGCTGAAAATAGAGAACATAAGTTGTTGAGAATTAAATTATAAGACTAAGGGTATCTCCATACTTCATAAGGATCGGTCGATTCAGATCGGCCGACCCTTATAACGCTTATAAGCGCAATAAGAATCGGCCGATCCTTATGAAGTATGGAGATACCCTAATAAAATTTTGAATCTATGGTTTTGAAGTGTATGGGAAATCATATACGCTCTGGTTAAACAACACATCAACACGTGAACAAACTCAACCAAAAAATGCTAATATATTGAAAGTGAGAAAAACTTCCATGTTGAAAACTAGGTAGCAATCT